TTTTTCTTGAACATTTGCTAAACAAATTAAACTGTTAAGAGAAATTTAAGGGAAAGGCATAACTTACACCAGATAAAATATTTAAAGTACTTTAGCAACCTCTAGTTATATGTAGCTTAGTTTTACGTAATTCCAGTGGAATTAGTTGCTAGGTATCTAATAGACTTTTATAAATACATGACAGAAATATTCAGCTCTTGCACAAAATAATTCTTAAGAATTTAATATTTATCAATATTTGTTAATTTAAGATTATACTTTGACATTTAGAAACATCAAGCTCATCCTTTTATTATGTAAGTTGAAATTTTGATTTAATTTTTAGGGTTTACCAGTATGAAATCCAAGTTTCCATTTGCTAAAAAGGGGAATACTCTTGTAAGAAAGAGCTGAGTGTAAGTTCTGATCTTTAATTAACCAGTTATTAGAATTCATTATTGAAGTACACACGCAGAAAACAGCTAATTGAATGTTGACATGTTTAATATGCAAAATAGATTAAACAATGTTTAGTTTTAGAAACATCTTTAATTTGTATTTTTAAGTAAGAACATATCACATATATATATATTTTAAAGAAGTATATTTTTAAATGTTTAACTTTAAAATTACAATGAAATGAATGATGAATTTTTCAAGTTTTCTGTAGACTCTAATAGGTAGATTTACAGAACTTTTATTTTGTCATATAAAAAAATCTGATCTTTAGTATTTGAAAAAAGGAAAAAAGTGACATTAAGGGTGAAGTGTTCTAGTAGTGCTCATTTTCCATATGTCTGTATATTGTATATGTATATATATATTATGTAAATATATAAATACTACAAATTTGAGTAAGCATTTTTCAATCAAAAATATATTCATTTATTCATTGAATATTAAGCACATTTTATATGCTAGTGTGAGATAAATGGCAGAATTCCCAGAATCTCCCACCTAGCCTTAGTGCTGCAGAGCTCCCTGCTGATTTGGGACAAGGAGTGGAGAGAAAACAGCCGTTCTCTCCTTCCCACCATTCCTGGTATGTGATTGGTTTGGGATATGCCAGTCACCAAGGACCCGCCCCTGAAGTTCTTGCTGAAAGAGGCGGGCAGGGGAAAGAGAGTGCATGGCTAGCTGTGAGGTATGGACAGAGCCGTGCCTGGCCAGCAAAGTCAAGTGACTGCAAGAGAGAAAAATGGTTTCTCCCAACCTGCCCTTCCGATTTGCTCCAGGAGGAGCTACAGCTAGGGACCGTGGTAGTCACTGGTTTTACATTGATAAATTGGAAATGGTTTCTACACTCACATTATCTCAGTATCTATCATAGGAGATGGTTGAAGCAAAAGGAACGTATAATTACAAAAATCTCATTAAGAATACAAATGGAGCCAGAGACCAAGGGTCGCTGAAAGCACTGTGTGGTAGTCGGGGACAGTTACTTGGAGTAACTGACTTTCAGGCTGAGATCTCTGGGGCAAAGAGCCAGCCATGTCAGGAGCAGGCAGTGAGCATTCCCAGCAGAGAAGATGGCATCTGAGAAGGCAACCGGGCAAGAAAAAGTCTAGACGTAGGAGACAGTCTGGCTAGAGGATGGTGTCCACACAGAAGGCACCCAGAGATCTGATGGTTGGTCAGATGAGTGAATGATGGTGAAAGTAAAATTAATGGTCAGATTGTAAAGTAGCTCTGCCCACCTGCGGTCCGGTTGTTCTCAGCGGCTACACCCTGTAGCCTCTCAGCCCCTTTCACTGTGGACTGGGATTTGTCCTTTTTTACCTATCCCTCCATATGTTATTGGAGAGATTTAATAATATTTAAAAATATTGAGTCCAAGTGCCTGAACATATCTAGTAGCTGTGTGGTAGCTGGGAACACTGATATGGGAGATGACCTAAGAAGCTGAGTCTGTCACAGGCTGAGGTTTGGGTTGTGGCTTTGCTCAGAGAGCCACAGATAAAATATGTTTGGCAGGTTCTCCCCTGCAAGGTTCTTCGAGTTGGGCTAGGAACTAAATTGACATGAGAGAGATTGACAGGAGAAAAAGACATAAAGTTTTATTACATACTTATGGAGGCCCAATAAGGAAATGAAGACCAAAAGAAATGACCAAGACAGGCGGGCAGTTTATATACATTTTAGATGAAGAGACAATAAATGTCTGAGGAATTGACAGGACAAAGAGACAGGTTTGGGAACTTCTGTTTGGGAAGAATTCTAAATAAACAGTATTTGGGCTGGAGTAGTAAATTAGTAGTAAACTAACAGGACTTGTTTATGTAGTCTCCTAGGCTCTCAGTTCCCCTTCTTTGGTCGTAAGGAAGCCTTCTCCCCTCTGGGTGCAGGGAGGGTGCATTTCGTATGGGATATTTATGTCCTGGTTCCTAGTGGTAGTGGGGGACAGAAGAGGGTCAGAATATTTCTCCTGTACCACCTGCCTCTCCAGTCGCTTCAATTCAGTATGCCATGGTGGCATATATTGGGGTCACCTGCCCTGGGCCTCTGTAGGCAGTGCCCGAGGAAAGAGAGATGTAGCTAGTCAGATGGTGGCATCTTTGGTCTCTAAGCTGTCTGCTTTCCCTCCTCCCTTTCTCATTTTTCTGTGAATGTGTATGTTCAGTTCCTAGATGATGCCTCAGACCTCAAACTCTGTCCAGATGGTGATGGAATTCTAAGAAAGCTTTATGAGTCCAAGTGGCTACAATTTAACAATCTTAAGTAAAACATATTAAAGTAGGTTTTGAACCTTTTTTCACTCTATGCTTTGGCAGGTTTTGAAACACTGAATTTAATTCTGAGTTTTTAGGAGTCTTCCTGCCTTCTGCCAACCTTTCTTTTAAAAGATGCTGATAAATTATTGAGTGCTGGTCATTTGAGAATATTTTGCCATCTTGCTGAGAAAGGGATTATGTTTAATTATGTCACTCATTCACTCAACAGATTGTTTTGTTAGTGCTGTATTTGTTTCAGTGATAGTTGCTTACGGTATAATGGACAAGTTACATTCTTGGACTTTGTTCTTGTAACATAAGGGTTGGTGTGGGAGACAGACATTAATCAGGTAAATATAAATATGTGTATATAAACACATATACATATATTACACACACACATACATATATATGTATATAATTAAATATTGTGTTAAGTGTTATGAAGAAAAGGAGAGTGTGCTTTGAGAGGGAATAACTTTGTGATTTGTTTTAGACTGGGTCCTTGGGAAGGGATGTCTGTAGATTGATTAGGTAGAATTCTAGAAGATAAGGAGAAGTCAGCAAAGGGAGAAGGGTAATGGAAGGTTCTAAGGCCTTTATTTCTCTGCAGAGGTTGATTCTGAAATGGAAGATTATATGTGCTGCTGAGCTCTAGTTTACTACCATTCACACTGTAAGGTGGGTGGGGGCCCAGCCAAAATCTTCACTTACTGAGTCACTGCTGAAATTGTGTGAGAGGTTGGCTATTTACTTGCCTCTTAAGTATGACAAAGACCAACAAGAAATGAGTGAAAAGTGATTGATTTGTTCAAAGTTAGAGTTATTGTGTTTGCTTCATATTTCTTTACTATTAACTTTTAATGCTGGGAATTTGAAGAACCCGTGGTTGGGTAAAGGAAGTAAAAACTAGATGTCTGTGGCTCTGTTGCCTTTTGCAATGTTGAAAAAAACTCACTGTAAACCAAGACTAACTTTAAAAAAAGTGGAAAGATGGTGGAATAAGATGGAAAGAGAGCTGAGTAGTTAGTTGTGGTTATATGATCTATGGTCTTTACATTTCTTATTCATAATTAATTCAATGCTTATATGTGAAAATGTATGCACTTCTAATGAACCCTTGCAGCTGTTCTCTATTTGATCATATTTGCTCCAATTTTATCTTAAGCAGAATAAATGGGCTAACAATCATGTGAGAGGCTCACTGTATTTCACTTTAGTAAGAGCTGTGTGGTGCTCAGGAAGCAGCTGGGAAGACAAGTTCTTCACACTAGTTCTTTTTCTATCTTTAAGCCTTCTGAAAACCACAGAAAGTTATACCACCTCCTTACCTTAAATATGTTAGAAACTGCAAAAGGAAAGGGTAGACAGGGTGTGACCAATTTGTTTAGAAATGCCTTTCTTTTTAAAACAGGAAGTTCGTTTTCATATATAATCTGTGTTAAGGGCTAAAAGTACCCTGATTGCCAGTTCACTCCAAGAGCTGGGTAGGGACTCACATAATCAAAGCCTTTAGAATCCTCTGACTTCAGGTAAGGGGGCTGAAACAAAACAAAGTAAAACCAAGTATCAGTGGTTCTTCACTTTTCTCTTATGTGGTCAGAAAACATCTTTTTGTCTTTTATGCCTAAATAGGAAACATGCAGTTACATTGTTTTGTTTCTCCTGTCAGTAACCATTTTAAACTGCATTTTCCTTTTATTAGATTCTGTAAACAAACAAAAAAAAATGTTTATGTTTCAAAGGATTTTGGATGACTGCAACCGGTATTTAGAAAGGGCTTTTACAGCTTATTTGATCATTATTTCCTCTTTTTTTTGGCCATTGTTTCATTATTTTTTATTTCAGCTTATTTGATAACATATGCAAACCCAGTTGACAAAAGTTTTGTTATTTCAGCAAAAAATACTATTCATGATCCCAAGCAAAAATTATGGTAAAATGAGATAAATGTTTCAAGCTTAATGAGGGATAAAATTTTATACTGTCTTCACTAAAAGATTACCTCCATTAAGGGAAGTGTGGGGTGCAATGATAGCATGTCTGACCAACTTTGTTTTGCACTCAACCTTATAAGGTAGATGTCAACACTGTTAACAGTGTCATGGATTTAAATACCTATATCAACTGATTAAGAAAGTGGCAGTGTACATATTTTCCCCATGTACCATGCCAGAATTGTACATTGTCATAGCTTATTGTTCTAACAGCACATAGGAATGTACTCACACAGTTATATCACAAATGTATTTAAAATCCCTGTTCATATTACTTCAATGTACAACAACAATAATTTCATATGTTTTGCAGAAAACGTATGTTTCAGAAGAGATGGGTGAAATTTGATGGCCTTAGCATTTCTTATTACAATAATGAGAAGGTAAGCACATTATATGGTTTTCAGAGATTGCTTTACTTACATTAGTTACACTTTAGTACACTCAGCAAATGATCTGGTTTTTAAGAATAGGAGTTGGATTATCAAGATGTGATAAAACACTTAATTATTTTCATGGCTTAACTTTTCCTTGACATATAAAATTTGGGGTGTTCTAAAACTTATAGTTTGACAATCATTTATTGTCTGTGTTCTGCAAATTACAGGAATTGCTATGAGCGATATACTGATGAATAAGAAATGGCCTCTATCCTAGAAAGCATTAAGGAATGTTTACAAAACTACACTATTATAGGAAATGGCAAAGCAAGGAGATTAACTTTATATTCTAGAAGGTACTGTTGAAGAACCAAGAAGGCGTCTCGCATGATATTTCATTAACCATGGAGCTTAAAGAAGGGATTTCTGTGCATAGAGAAACTAGAAAGTATACAGACTGATAGAACAAGATGCCCAGATGGGAAATCAATTCCACCGTAAGTGTATGGTAGAACTGAGTATTTTTCTGATTGAAAGATAGAGTATGTGAAGGAGGCTTAGGTGAGATGAAGCTGAGAAGGCTGTTTGGAGTTACAGCTCTTTGAAAATCTTGATATGAAAGTGGTGGCAATATATTCTTTAGGCAGTTGAGTCTTAAGGATATGATGCTGTTTTAGTCATGTCTTTTGCATTAGGTATAAGGATATCTTTATTCCAAGAAGAAGTAGGCTGAAATATTTAGGATTAAAGTGCCATAATCTGCAGATGTTTTTTAAATGTTACCTATTTCTCTCTGTATTTATATTTACAAATACATACATTTGCATGCATGCATAGTCAGATAAAACAAAAACTGAAGATGTCAACAATTGTTAAATCTAGGTGGAGGATATATGAGTGGTCCTTGTACTAATCTTTCAGCTTCTCTGGGTTTGAAAATTTCCTTGATGAAAAGTTGGAACTAATAAATATACCATATTTTAGTTAATTAACATCAGATAATTTTATAGTATTAACTGTATAGACTACTCTTAACATACTCATTTAGCACTTAATCTCATTCTTTTATTTATAGTTTATAATCCAACATTATCTTCTCATTTTTTAGAGATTCCCACTGTCTGTTACTGCTGATATTTGTAGCCTGAATAGAGACTTAGACTCCTTTCATATACTGATTCTTCAGTGTTTCAGGACAGAAGAGTATATGTTTTTAGACAGAAAGTAACACACACTATATAGAGGCTGCAACTAAGGATAGTGAAAACTTAGAGAAATGTTAATTGTTGGTTTCACTTTGAAATGATCCAGACAAAGCAACAAATAGGTTAAACACATCTCTTAAAGTTTGCTAAGATGTTGGGATGAATATTACTTTAAAAGTTGATTTTGTGTCTTAATCTACTCTTTTTAGTTTACTTGTACATTTGAATGTTGAGATGATTTGTATACCTAGGGTGGGTACAGTGTGGTTTCTGTATCTGCTGGACCCCAAATGCTGGTTTTCTTCAGCACCTGTGCCCTTCCCTGGTTGGATTGAAATGAAGAGGAAATCTGTGCAGGAGTGTGACAGTCTTCCATGCCGTGAAGCCATGTTGGTGGTAGTATCCTTATCCCATTTTGGGAGAGATAATTTCTAGTTTCTCTGTCCAACTGGACTCATTGTGTTTGTTCTTTAAAAGTTCATCTCAACTGCTGTAAGGAGATGAGTGCCTCTCATATCTTTAGATACTGATGCAGTAAAAATGATGCAGCCCTGGTTTGAAATTGAGATTAAAAAGTTAGTGTTAACATGAATTTTTACAAATTGTTTAGCTTAACACTGAGTTTTTTAAAATACAAATTATTATTTCCTTTGACATTTAATCTCTTTACTATCCTGATGATTGTTTCATCTTGGCAAAAAAACAAAAACACTGGGATGGGTGTTTCCTAAAAGGAGACACACTTTCTGCTGTGACCCTTCTGACAAAAGGGATGGATGGGTGGACTGGGAAAAGGGGGTTCAAGGCTACTGACCAGAAGGCATAGGTATGGCCTTAGCTGCTGTCTTAGCTGGGGTGCAGTGTTAGTGGTCAAGCACGGGACATTTGTGTCTTTCAGTGTTTACATGTGTACTTGAGGAGCATGTGATTGAGCTTCCAGGCATTAGTGTGCAGACTTTTTGCTGGTTTTCTTCCACTTTCTCAATTCTGCTCAATCGTGTCTCTGCACAGACTTTTTCATTGTATTACTGAAAATGGCATCATCCCAGTAGCCTTGATACCTTATCCCCTGCCAACAAATCTAACTCACCCCCATTCTCGTTCAGCTGTGGGCAGAATTGCCCAGTGGTCGTTTCATTGTCTGGGAAGTGGAAGATAAATGACAAACTTGACCCACATATCTGTGTGTTACAGGCTCAAGGGATGCTTTAAAAATTTCTTCCCTTATGGAAAATTTTACACTTTGAAAAATGCAGTCATTTTGAGCCTGTTGTCATAAAGTTTTGTTCTGTTTTTTTTCTCTTGTCCGTATTGTCTTTGTTGTGTGTTGTTAGAAGGGAAATGTGAAATCAACTATACAGTGTTAAAAAGTTTGAGATTTATCTTAGGATCTTGTAATAGATTATAAATGAGTCCCTAGAGAAACTTCAACTTCCTGAGGTTAAAGTGACATAGTGTTTAGCTTGTTAAATGCATTTTGGTCACTTCTGGGGTATTATTTTTCTGTTACTCTTCCATAACTACTTACCTATTAAATATATTATGGACATGTAAGTGAGTTATTTTTTTTTTTAAGGAATTGCTTTTTAATCACCTTAAAGACATCTTGAGTAAGGAAAACCCTTTTTAAAATTCCTGTTTCTTTCCCTATAATACTGTTTGGTTTGTTTTTTGTTTCTACTGAAAAAATGGAGTCATGGTAACATTTTGTTCAGGAAATATTAATACATCTAGAAATGTATTTTTATAAGCTCTTCTAATACTTAGGCAAACTAAAATTTGAGAATGGATCACCTAGGGAACAAGGTGTAAATGACTTTGGGCATTCTAGAGTTTTCACTGTCTGGTCAACCACTACAGATTTACAGACAGAGAGGTCCTTACACTGTCCTCAGGGGTTTGCGACCTTGCCTATGTCTGAGGTTGCCTGACAATGGAAAGACATTCTTCTGCTCCCTTCAATCCTAGAGCACTTAGAGGTCTAGTTATGCCTGTATTGGATTGCAAACCCCCTACATTTGTTGGGTTTCCTTTTTTAAGCCAGCCATGTCCTGTTTTTCTTTGTCTGACTCTTTTCAGCAGTGTCTGGGTACACACCATGGGAAACTTGAGCATGGGAAATCTTTCCTCTGGTTTCACCTCCACACTTTTGCTCTTCCATCTGAACCTTGCTAATTATTGGCATCCATCAAAACCCCATGCAGAATTCAAGACCCATCCTTTTATCCACCTCCATGAATCTTTTATTTTCTCCAACTATGACCTTTGAACGATAATATGTAAGAAAGGTTAGAGGGAAAACAAGCTGAATGTAGGGAAGCAGATCAGGAGAGAGTGCAGTAGGTCAGACATTAATTTATCAGCATGTGGACTATATAGGCCAGTGGAAGTGTTAAGAAATGAATTTAGAAACATTAAAAAAGCTTCCAGAGTTTGGTATAATTATGAAGGAATTCATTCACTCAGAAAATACTTATCCAATACTAGTTATGTGAAAGGTGAAGAAAATAAACATATGACCCACAGTCATTTGGCGAGACTGTTTTAACCAAATGATCACACAGAACATAGAAAAATCACCATTTAAATTATAGTTAGTAATTGCTCTGAAGGAAACATTTAGGCTGCAATTAGCTCAGATTAGGATTAGCTACCTGGGTGGGCCTGAGGAAGAGACTGGCGGTAAAGGCTTTTTTCAGAAGCATACATTTATGTTGAAATATAAAGGATGTAGAGACAGTAACTATGTAAAGATGTGTATGGAAAACATTCCTTGTAGGACAGAGTATGCGTAGGCACTAGATTAGGCAGAAATATGGTATGTTCAGGAAACCTGAAGAAGGGTAATGTGTCTGGGAAGAGTCAGGGAGTGACGGGGAACAAGCTGACACGGTAATGAAGGGAGAATCCCAAGATATGTGGGTGTAAAAGATCAGCACAAGTCAGAGACTATTCCATAAAGATGGACTGACTAGAAGAATGACATTTGCATGGACAGATATAGAAGGAGGGTACATTTTTAGGAGATAATTCAGTTTTAAGGTTTGAGGGGCTTATGGGACAATTACGTGCACTGTTGATGGCTTGCAATATGAAAGTGGAGTTGACCGAAATCAGGGAGGGACAGATTTTAGAATGCTCTGCCTAAAATTGATAGTTGAAATAGTAAGAAGGTATTTTCTTCTTAGGGAGAGAGTTTTTTTTTTTTTTAAAGGAAAATAAGCAGATTAAAAGTTACCTTGTAATTGACATCCCTCTCTTTTGCGAGGAGGTTTCCCAGTCACCTTCCTGAATCACAGGTCAGGTATATAGATTTTGTCTGTGTGAGAAGACAGGAAAGCCTTCATGGCATTGGTATTTAAGGGGGTATTGAAGAATGCATAGGATTTTGATGGATACATCAAGTCAGGGATGGGAGATTGGAGCAGAGGCAGTGGAGAAGAAACTGTCAAAGCACCAAGAGGGAAGACCATGATTGTATAGTGTATCTTCTCCCTTAGAAGATAAACCTCCCTGTAGGTCTCCACGGCTCTGACTGTGACTGTCTTTCACTCATCTGCTCCGAATGGCTGGAGTTTAGTTCCTGGGAGGAATATGAACTTGGTCCTTTTTCTTAGCATGGAATGGTTTGTAGTACCTCTTCTCCTAACCGGTTATTTCAGATACTTGGGATCTTCTCAAAAATGAGGGCTCCATGAATAATGCTCTGAAAGGGAAGAGTAGAAGAAACCTCATAAGGAAGTATTCAAGCTCTTTTGATATTAAAGACCTTCCATGATGTAGCAGTGATGTATGTTTTCAACTTTATCTCTTTTAACTCTATTCTGCAGCTCCTCAATTTCTCTACTTTATACCTCCCTTATTCAGTCTTCTGGCCAGGATGGCCCTCCACCAACTTACCTATTTGGTTATACTTAAGGTTTTTTATATCAGGCTCAAATGTCACCGTGTCTGTGAAAACATCTCGTACCTTTTTAAGCAGGATTGAGAATTTCCATCTTTGTACTCCTATAGCCTATGATTTGTATTTAGTTTTAAACTTTCTGTCACTGTATTAACTGATTTTTAGTTTGAGGCTCCTTGAACATATAAATACTCTTTAAATTTTCTTTTCAACACAGTACATATCATATCCTTTGTAAATAATTGAAATTGTGGGGTGGTCATTATGTTAAATGCTTTAGGAGGGTCCAGGAAAATGAATACTGAGAAAGTTACCAAGAGTCCTAAGAATGACCTTTCTGAGCAAAATTGTAAGATATGTTATACACATACACATGCCAGTAGCAAACAGCCAAATCCACATTTTCTTATTTTTTAGTCATTATAGAAGAAAATGTAGAGTCATGCAGTTTTGAGATTAAGATCTTCATGTTCACAGCTTTGAGAAGTAAGATTAATTGATAAAATCCAACAGTTTGGTCTTAGATACATTCTTCTTGTTCACAGTATGTAATAACAGTAGTTTAGAAATGGTTCAGCTACAGTACCTATTATGGCCAGCAGATGCCTGCAAACACCACAAAATCATTTTGACCACTTCTTTTAAAGAACATACTGCTGTTTTTTGGAGGTGTATGTTGCTGATCTAGTGTGACTATTTGTATTTGTTCTTTCCCTTTTAATTCCAGATGAAGAGAAAATTGAAAAGACATCTCACTTGAAAGGGACATTTAATGTTTTCCTTAAATGTATTGAATGCATGTGAAGATACATATGCTATTTGTATATAATTTAAAAAATTTAAGTTAAAATTATGAAAGAGAAGCACTTGGAAATATTGTGCCATTCTTTTTTTAAGACTAAGAAAATTTCATTTTAATGTGCCTTCTTGTGTATCTTTTTTCTTTAATACAGGAGAAGTATTCTAAAGGAATAATTCCCCTTTCTGCTGTATCTACGGTACGAGTTCAAGGAGACAACAAATTTGAAGTTGTTACAATGCAAAGAACTTTTGTTTTTAGAGTAGAAAAAGAAGGTAAGATTATTTCTTTATCCCTATAAAAACACTAACATTAATTTCTGACTTATCAGAAGATTAATAAACCACTTGAGCCAGAAATGTCAAGAAATCTTTAAATATGTTACTTTTAAATCTTTATTTTATATATTTTTAATGGGACTGAGCTTGAATTCCACTTATACCACCTTCTTTATTTAAATTTTTTTATTGAGGTATAATTGACATATAATATTATATCAGTTTCTGGTGTAATACCTGGCAGTTTGACATTCATATACATTAATTTTTTGAATGTCATAAAGAAGGGGATAAGTCATTTGTTTGTTCACTATTCTTGCATGCAGTAAACAAAGAGAAATTACTCAGTGCCAAGGACTCTTCTAAATTGTGAATATACAACAGTGGAAAAAAAGGACACAATCTCTGCTCTTATGGAGTTAACCTTTTAGCTGTTTTGATAATGCAATATAGTTCTTTAATATACAGTTTTTTTCAAATTATTAAAAGGTTGATTTTAACTGAACATGCAGGCCTAGTAATCATTCTGATATAAATTTTGTAGCATCTTAATATATTTCATGAATTCTTTCCCCCTGCGTCATCTGCTGTGGATCACTTGAGAGTGAACATTCATGTAGATGACATGTTGTTTGTGGATGGAGTCTAAATCTTCAAATCTTCCTGACTTTTTTGGGGGAGTGGGAGAGAGCCAGGAGAATTAAAAATTCTCTGTTGTATTGTTTCTGATTATTAATATGTTGCTATAAACCTCATTACTTTTACATAAAATAGGTAAGGCCATATTTGTTAATTAAAGAATTTGAATCTTAACTTATTTTAAAGCCTACTTTTATTGTAGATTATAACTCAGTTTTTATGATACTTCGAATAATAGTGATATGGGGAACTTGCTGAATAGTTGATACGTGCCAGATAATCTTCTAAATGCTTCATTTTCACAATAGTCTTATGAAGTATGTAGGTATTATAATTATTATCCCATTTTGCACATATGAGTATTCACCTTTTATAAACTACAACAGTATTAGTTATTATGGGTCAATACTTGTCTTTTTTAAGCTGTTAGCTTCTTAGATCATATGCCAATGCATGGCACACAGAAAATAGTCAATAAGTATGAGATCAACTTATTAGTTCCTGATGGTACCAAAAAAAAATCCCTGATAAATGTAAAATAGAATAAGAAATACTGAAGTGCATTGCTTCTAACAAATTTTAAGTATTGTACATATGTAATGTAAAAAGTGTTTCTTACTAGATTAGCTAATTAAAAATTGTTGAGGGTGATAGCCTAGAGCAGGGTTTGCCTTAATCTGGCCCACTGCTTGTTTTTGTAAATAAAAATAAAGTTTTATTAGATCACAGCAACTTGTGGTCATCTACATACTATCTTATGGCTGCTTTTGTGCCTCCCGGTCAGCACTGAGTAGTTGAGGCATAGACTGTATGGGCAAGAAAGTATAAGATATTTACTACCTATCTGCTCCTTTAAAGAAAAACTTTGCCAACACCTGTCTCAGAGCATTTTATGTAGAACTGCCTATGTAAGAAGGCACATTTTGTGACTCATGGCATGAAAGTCAGAAAGTTGTGCACAATGGTGATACATAATATGAGGCTTGTATTTAGTCAGTTTTTCTCTTTCAGTATTTCTTAAAACACATTACACTGCTCCTCTGACTGGCTATCATGACAATCTTTCCTTATGTTTTGTTTTCCTCTGCCCTAAAGGTGTGCCTACCTATTTGTTTGGGGCGCTTATCATCTTCCGCTTGACTTCTCAAAGTGAATTTCACATATGCCACATAGCCTGCATTTTAAGATAGACATACTAAAGAAAGCTTCCAACTTAAGTGAAAATCTGCTTAGCCATATTTATTTGTTGCAGTTATGAGTTAAACAGACAAATTTTATTTAAGTAGAATAGTTACATGTTTACAATAACCTATAAATCCTTCTGTGGTACATGGTTCATCTTTGTGATGTAAACTTAGTATAAGAATTTCATTACCTTTCATATAAAATGTTTGTTAAATAAATCTGAGGTCTTTAATTTTTGAAAGCATGAAAATACTACTTCAGTAAAAACTGAGACTATCCACATGGAGTTGCTGAGTAAATTATTTTCACTGAAAGTCATTTTTATGTAGTAATAACTCACATTTTTAAAGAGAAGTGTGTGTAGAAATGTGTGTTATCTATGTGTGTGTATGTAAACATCTTATATTTAGTATGGAACCTTCAAGAAGATACTAAACATGTTTTATTAAGTATTTTTTCCTCCTCCCATGTATACAAATTGTTGATTATTTTTCATTTTGTGGAAACTGACATATCAGCCATAGTGGCTTAGGAAATATTTGACTTAATGAACTTTAAGCCAAATTAAACTTTGCTTCAGTGTAACCAAGAAGCCAGATCCAAGTTTAGAAGGAAAGGAAAAATGGTTTAACATACTGGCAGAGATAAATTCTTCATTTTTGGTAAAATAGTTCTGAATGATTTATGCCACCTACGCTTCGTTTCCCCTGAAACTAATGTAACTCTTTCTAAACTGCTGCATTATGCACTGACATTGCTAAAATAGGATTACAGTTTGGCATCTTTGCCCCACAAATTTTCAAAGACTTCAGTTCCCCTAAGTTTCCTAGTGAAATGTTGTTATGCTCTTGGTTGAATGTGATTTATGTTGAAATAATAACATTTAAAAAATACTCCTCCTCAAACAGTAAACTTGTCCTAATTCCTTTTGTCCTCAAGCAAAATCCTTAGAATTGATGAGAAGATCCTAAGAACCAATGATCTCTGCCCTCAGTCCACTCCCCTGGGACCTGTGGTAACCTGCAGATTGCTACTTCCTAGAACTGATGCTGTTTTGAATCGACAGTTCTCATAGTTAGAAGAGGGCTTAACAATTCTGAGTGGTCCTTCCCTTTCCAGAGCCATTTTTAGTTCTGGCTCCCAGCTGCAGGTCACCTGCTCCTGTCCCCCTGAGCCAGTTCTAGACCCCTGGGAGACAGACAAGCATGTCATTCTCTCAGCTCTGTTTCTAGACAGCAGAGTATGTGGTTCGCCACTGGCAGCTCATATGTGATTATAATATCTAATATATATAATAGTGGATTCATTCTTTTTTTAAGTAATTATGACTTCTAATTTTTTTTCATATTAAAGTATGGTTGATATACAGTATTATATTGGTTTTAAGTATACAGCATAGTGATTCGACAGCTGCCTGCATGATTCAGTGTTCACCTCAGTAAAGTAGTTACTGTCGTTCTTGAATCTTTCTCTCCCTCATATCTCACATCCAGTCCATCAGAAAATCTTATCAGTTTGCCTTTGGAAATATATCTGGATGAACACCTATACTACTACCACTATAGCAAAAGCCAGCACTTCTATTTGAATTATTGTAATGACCTTCCTTAATTGGCTACAGTCATATTTTCAATACAGTTGTCAGAATGATCATTCATCAAGAGAGGTCATGGCAGTCTACTTCAAATGCTGTTTTCTTTCTACCACAGTGGGAGTAAAGTATTCAGGATGTGTAAAAACCCCTACATGTTAGCCCAGATCACTCTTTATCTCCATCTGACTTGTCACTTACTGCATTTCAGTGACAGTGGCCATTTGTTTCTTGAACATGTCAACCCTGCAGTTGCATTGGGGTCTTGACATTTGCTGCTCTATTTATCCTGGAATGTTCCAACCATTCTTCTGCCTTTCTCCATCACTGCCACTTCTTTAGGCTCTTGATTAGCCACCACCTCCTTTCTGAGGCTCTTTTTACCCTTTACAAAGTAGCACTTCCTGTGCCCCTTGTCTTGTGCTTTACTTTATCCCATTGAATTTGATACTGTGTAATATATAACTGTGTTTTATTACCTTTCTCCTCGCACAAAAGCATAAACTTCAGCATAGCAAGGCCATGATCTGTGTTGTTCACCCCTCCATTCCTGGTATTCAGAATAGGTCTTGAAACATAGTAGGTACTCAGTAAGTGTTTGTGTGAATGAATGGTTTTGATTTCAATAACAACCCTATTATACAATGTTAAGGGAAGTAAAATTGAAAAGGGGTTACTCTGAGGGATCTTTAGTTAGATTATATTATCATATCACAAGTAGGGGTTAATCTAAGCTTTGTTAGATTTTGTTAGTAATCTTTCACACAGCCCTTGTATAATAAACTCTAGTTACAGTCTTTTCTTACTGGTGAATATGCCTACTGTTCAATCCAGTAGTCCAGAGAATATTAATTCTTCCCTGTTGATTTGTTTAGCTTTTTTTTGATTCTTGCTGTAAGTTGGCATTCCTGAAAATGTCAAGGACTAATTTGAGGTTTGAGGGAATTGCTGTTATCTTTAATTTACATCCTAACATAATTACAAGAAAGTGCCACTTTTGTTTTCCTGCTCCCCTTTTCTTTTATATGCTCTACTTTGAGCAAAGCCATATTCTCAGAAGCACTGAGATCAAGATAGATGCTCAAAAATATTTTTTATTGGGAGAATTAAAATACCTTGGGGTGAAGAGCAGGCAAAAGCTAGCATATTATCTAGCTTTGCCCAAGACACTTTGCCCAAGGGAAAATCATTATTTGTTTTGAGGTATTGTGACTTCTCAAAGCATATTCGTCATGTCTAAGGATGCACACATTGCACAGCCAAATACCAATGACACTTGTAATCTGTTTTATTGTGTTTGGATTATCTGTACCACTGTTTATCTCTATGGTATGGCTAATGAAGAATAAACTGAATGTTCCTATTAATTCCTGTTCTTCTTCATGACTGTTTACTTCTTATTAGTAAATGAGACCCTCAGGAGCTAGTTAATTCTTCTAGACTATAAGGAAACCACTTGTTGTGATACAGCCATAGTATGCTTCAGTCCAACAGATGCAATTGCTAGTTTCAAATTATTTTCTGAGAAACTGAGATATATGCTAATAGCAGTTTAAAAGCCACATACATTTTGGCTCAGTTCATAAAATTATGACCTATATTTCAAACTCAGTGATTTATGTAGATTAACACAAAGAAACAAAAGACATTGTATACTATTTATTTGGCAGGAATATTTTGTGTGAAACAAATGATCACAAGTAATAGCCAAGTTAAGTGGAACATCTGTTGGTGTTACTGAAATGTAATAAATCATCCTAGTGCAGTCTGGATCTACTTAAGTAGATGTGAAATGTCCAGTAGCTGCAGCACATTGACTTAGTTACCTGAATATTTTCATGTCTCATGTTTTATAATGATGCTGGAGATTATGTAACACCTGCAATAAAGCATTGCTGAGTGAGTTTTTAGGCTGTACCTTTTTAGTTTTGGATTTAGTTATTAAGAGCACAGTTAACTTTTTTAGTAGTTTTGAAGGTGAGCAAGAATGAAGACAATTTAAAATTTAAGAAAATTAAAAAATAAAAACTCATGTTGTGACATAATTGTGGATTATATTTGAATGTGAACAAGGCTAATATGGAGACTTCATTCCATCCACAATGAAGTTGTTCCAGCTAGATTTGTCTTAAAGGGATCTGAGATACTATCCAGTTTCCCAAACTTGGGCCCCACATGCCTTCTCTTCTCCTTCCCTCTGGAAAATTGCTCCCACCTGGAACTGAGTCTATTTTGTATTGTCTCTCCTTTTGCCTTGATAACCACTTCTCCATTTGTTATTTGCTGGCCTTGTCCAGCCTCATAAATACAGTTGCATTTCAAGGTTTGCCCATTTCTTTTACTTTTACATTAAACACTTAGCATTTCCATGGGTCTTCTCTTATATAGATTACCTTCATTCACATGTTATCAGTCTGCCTAGATGCTCATGCCAAGGCACTGAAAACCAGAGGTCAGTCTGTTAATAACACGTAACTTACTGTCTTCTTTTGTCTGGTCAATTCATGATACCAAGCTACCTATTATAAAAAATTAGTAATTTTTTGTGAACACCTGTCAAATATATTCAAAACCTCAGCTATATCTTACTTCCCTTAATGCCTTGACTCTTCATATGTTCTCTTCCCATTTTCATTCTATGTTAAGTCTCTCTTGCCTGCCTATTCCTGATCTCCAAGTTTCCGGTTTGGTCTCCTCTCATCATCCTAATCATGTCCCTTCCTTGCTAAGAATCCTGAATTGATTTCCCTTTGACTCTTTAATAAAGACAGAATTCCTACAAAGGCATTGCCAAATCTCTAGCCATATTTCCCATTATTTACTTGTGCGTTCAGACTTTAGCATGCTCATCTGCGAGTCAGTCCCTGAACAGATGTTGATTGTTTCTGTGTTTGTTCATGTGTTTTCCTCTGCTCAGAATACTGTTTTGCTCTTTTTTCTTCCAAACCCCAGTTTTGTCTTGTCAAATGCTCCACATTCTCAAGCCGTAACACAAATACCTCTTTTTTCATAATGCCAAAAACAATTGTCTGAGAGTTAAAACATTTGATTCTCCTAATTTTAATACTAATTTGCCATATGACCTTCAGCAAATCACTTACCTCCATTGAATTGACTCATATATTATTTGATACCATTTATATGACATTTATAGTATCTGTGTTTCATTATGTGTTCACATCTAACCTGACTTACAGCTTCGATCACTCTTTGGAGACTAGATCGAATTCCTGTGCTCATAACACAGTGTGTTGTACATAGTTGAAGGTCAGTTCATTTTTGTTAAGTAGTGAGACAACTAAGTTTTAATTCACTGAATGACATGCTGTTCTTGAGACTGTGGTGGGAATAGAATGGTGAGTGAATCTCTACTTGAGTAGGTTCTAAGTGACAGAAGGTAAGATTTTCTGGCTATTTGAGTACCTTAATAATTGTCAGGTAAGTCTGTTAACTGTTCAGTTACAATATTAACTTTCTTCTTTTAAAAGAGAAAATCCAATCTCTTGAATAATCTAAGAGTACTTCACATCACCTGGGGATCTTCGCCTGGGGATACACATCACCTGGGGATCTTCTTAAAATGAAGACTGATTCATTAGATCTGGGTAGGGACCGAGCTTTTTCAGTCCTGATAAGCTCCCAGGTGAAGCTGTGTTAACGGCTGTGGGGTGACTGAGTCATGTCATTCCTTCTCCTGTGCAGAGCTGGGCCATTGGCTTTGTCTGCAGTAATATTTAGCTTGAGGTTGTGGGAATGAATCTATGAACTACCTGTTGTAGAGAGAAGAAATCCTTGACCATGTTTCTGTATCTATGTATTTTGTGTAAGAATGGATATATGTACTTTCTCCTATCTTTATTTTCAGAGGAGAGAAATGACTGGATTGGCATACTATTAAATGCCCTGAAATCACAGTCCCCTTCCTTGCACTCTCAAGCAGTGGTTGTACCTGAGAAATGTGGATATCTTGAATTGAGAGGGTATAAAGCCAAAATTTTTACTGTATTAAGTGGAAACAGCGTGTGGCTTTGCAAAAATGAACAGGTGAGCTATGGTATAGTAATTGTAAATTGTGGTTCCCTAACTACATTAACAACTGTGTTTTGTTTCACATATTAGTGGTTTTACTTGTAGTCTTGCTTTTGCCTTGGATATTCCACTAAATGTAACCAAGAAGGAGTTCTTTTGTTGAATTTTCTCAGTTCCTCCAGTAGTGAGTGGAAAAGCAGTCTACATCATATTTGAGCCTAGAATTGCCTTTTTAGGGGACTGAAAAATAGAATCATTGAAAATAAATTTTGGGAAGTATTCCTTAGCTGAGGTAAAATTATAAAAATACATAAGAGAATAATTAAGAACCAGTCAACCATTATAGCTGTTGATGAAATAGGCCCATTTCTGAACCTGTCATGTTTGTTCTATGATAGAAAATTATCGAGTAGATCCCGGTAATGTATTTTCTTGAGTTTTCAGCATTTTTCCAAGTCTTATTTTTGTTCTTTTTTTTGAGAAGATATGTTGCTTGCAGAGGAAATAATTTACTAGAGGCAAGTGATTGATGTATGCACATACACACATATGCACATATACTACATATATATAAAATAAAGGTGTTGACTCACTGAATTTGGTTAGTCTCAAAGTATCAAGAGCCAGTTTAAATGTTTTGAAAAGACTGATATTCTAGTAAGAAATTCTACTTTGATTCTAAAGACTTCCCTTTCTCTACCATTTCTATTTTCTAGTATGTATAGGAAAATTCTTTCCTTATCCCATTTTGGGAATAAATTCTTACTTAATCTTCAGTTTAGAATGTATTAGATGCTTAGTAATTACTTGTGGAATTAACCAATGTGCTTTAGATATCTGATCTTAGGTGAACTCATTTTATGATGCATTATAATGGGTTATATAATAAGGTAAAATATAAATACTGATGATTTTTGTGGCAAAATACAGAGATATTGACTCAAAACAAACAGCAGTTTCAAAAACAATTAACTATAGATCTTTATCCAAGGCATCCTCTGAACTTCAGTGGGAACTGATTCATTACATTTTTGGGGTAAGATTTTGTAGCCAATTAACTGTGGAAAGCATCATTGAGCACTGTTGGCATATTAATAAGTTGGATAGTTAGCATATTCCTCAAGAAGAATAGTGATGAAGAGCTTAATGTGTATGAACTGAATATGAACATTTTCAGTCTGTGAAGTAAGATGATTAAAACTTTTTTATTGGAATGGAGGTTAAAAATGCATAATTTGCATGTATTAGTATGGAAGTTACTCTGCAAAATTAATTTAAGTTTTTGCTTTTTACTTGCACAGACCTGATGGACTTCAAATTATTAGTTTCATTTCTTAAATTAGCTAGATTGTCTGAGTTTATGTTATTCTCTAGAAGTAATGTTTTTAGTTTTATTAATACTTTCTGATTAACAAGAAATTATATGAAATTACTTTAATATGAGTAATTGATCATAAAACGCATAATAATGACTACCACTTGTTGAGTACCGAGTACCATACTAATTAATTTATAAACATTCCCTTTTAATCTTCCCCTTAAATGTAGGAGGAAGATATTCTCATCCATGTGTAACAGATAAGGAAAATGAGGGTTAAATAACTTGTTTTAAGGACTTCAGTCCATCATGAAGGGTTTAATTTAAAACTAGAACTTTGTAAGTCTAAGCCTAGCTTCTTATTCACTATAACAACTGTCTTTTTTGTTGTTCAAGTATTGTTGATATACAATCTTATGTTGGTTTCACATATTCAACACGGTTCAACAGTTACCCATATTATTAAATCCCCATCCCCACTAGTGTGGTTACTATCGGTCCACATAGGAAGATGTTACAGAATTATTGACTATAATTCTCCATGCTGTCTTACCATCCCTGTGACCAACTTATGATTGAGAACTTTTGTGCCCCTTTATCTCCTCACCTTCCCTACCCACCCTCCCAAACCCCTACTCCATGGCAACTGTCAGTCACTTCTCAGTGTCTGTGAGTCTACCGCTATTTTGTTCATTTTGTTTTGTTAGGTTTTTATATTCCACAAATAAAATGAAATCACATGGTATTTGTCTTCCTTTACCAGGCTTATTTCACCTAGTCCGACCCTCTAGGTACATTCATGTTGTTGTGAATGGCAGGATTTATTTCCTTTTTTATGGCTGAATAATATTCAACTGTGTGTATGTACCATCTCTTGATGGACACTTTGGTACTTTCCATATCTTGGCTATTGAAAATAATGTAGCAATAAACATGGGGGGCTGCATATATCTTTTTGAACCAGGGTTTTTTTTCTGCAGGTATGTTCCTAGAAGTGGAATTATTGGGTCAAATAGTATTTCTATTTTTAGTTTTCTTGAGGAACCTCCATGCTGCTTTCCAAGTGACTGCACCAATTTACATTCCTATTAATGGTGTAGGAGGTTCCCCAAACTCTTTTTAAAGTGTATGTTGAAAAGAAAATTTCTGGCTACTGAGCTTTTAGAAATAGACAAAAGTTCTTTCCTTGAATAAACTTAGTTGCCTATGAGGTTCAGAGTGTGCATTCAGTAACCATTTTACCATGTCAGGCACTCTGAAAATGGTGTGCTTCCTGAGGGAGATGCTTGTCTTGTCTTCCAGGAGGAAAAGTTAGGCAAGACCAGCATTTATTTATGATGGATGGTGAGCTCAGTACTTTATATGAGTTGTGCAGGAGTTACAGAAAAGTTCAAAAAAGGACATCCAATGAAATATGGGAATTAAAAACACCTCCACCTATACAATTAATGACTGTATTCTCCTTAAAAGTTAAGCATTCAGTAGCTTTCAACAATATCGAGTGTGTCTGTAGTTAGCATCCCTTAGCTTGGGATTGGTATATCTTTTTGTGATGAACTTTCATTTGGAAGTGTATATTTTACCTGATTCAATATTTTGAAATATGCAAACATTTAAGTGAAAAGTTAAGGAAATAGTGTAATACATTTTTAAATCCTGAAAAACTGTTACTAATAAATTGTATATGGTTCTAAACTATATGTACTGGTAACTTATTTTTTTGCTAAAATTCAGTCATTTTTATGTAAAATTAAAATTTTTCACTTTATACAAACTACAACTATTTCATTAATAAAAATTTAATTTTTATTAACACAGACTTTTATTATCAGAGCATCTAGTGGAGAAATTAAAAACTTCATTTGCAAAGTCAGCATAAAGGAAAATGTTTGGAAAACAATTTGAAACTCTTCTTTCCCAGAAGTTCCTTTAACTTTTCGTGTACGTCTGGAAATTTAATTTTGTAGATTATTAAACTTTTGTAGAGCTTTTTCTCTTCTTCCAATAGTTGTCCTTAAGATTCCATGTCAACCATCTCTACAAATACATTTTCAGCAATTCTTTCATTTTTTCTGGATCTGTCCCTCAAGAACTTATGTTTTCTAAGGTAAAATAGCTGTTAGAACAGACTATTGTCATTATCACCTGATTTTTGAAATTCCTTCTTTTTAAGAGAATCGGCATTACAGTAGCAAGGAGAATGCCAAACTGCACATTCTTCTCGACAGGGCACTGTCAAGGCTAAACTGTAGAATTGACATGGATTTTCATTTTCCCATTGCTGGGCTCAGAGATTCACTTTTTTCTTTCATCTCTTTCTTACCCTTTCATTCATTAGCAGATGATAGGAACTGAAATTTGCAGTAGGTCTTGACTGAGTAGGAGAAATGCCTTCAGGAATGTTAGTGTTTTGTTTGTTGTTTTGTTTTTTTACGCAGATAGACTGTAGAAAGTGGAAAAGAACCAAGAAGAGAGATGTAAAAACATTTTTAGAGGAGATGGCAAAGTAGAAATTGCCACTAAAATTCTTCACCTAATTGCTCAGTTACAGAACCCTGAGTGCTAGTATTGCATACATTAAATGCCATCCCTTTTATTATTTAACACCATCTCACTTTCCCACTCCCCAAAATGCTTAATTTTAGCAGGCTTTGCTCTGTTCGTTGCCTCTGTTCCTGTCTGTTATGATGGTTATTCTCCATTGGCATTTCAACTTTGTGTAAAATGAGTTGTGTAACTGAATTTGTGTAGCTTATACTACAGTTCACTGTTTTTCTGTTTTTATTCATCCACTTTACAAATTTTTATTGGGCACCTTCTCACTTCTGGGTGCTGCTCTAGGCTCTGGGGGTACAGTGGTAAACCAAAAATTCCTGCTTTTTAGGATCTTACCTTTCAGTATGGGTAGCACATAGTGATAAATTAATGAGATTTCTGGTAGCCTTCTGTATGTAGCCTTTTTTATTCCTTTTTGATTTTTTTTTGCAAGAATTTTTATGACTTTTTTGTAAATAATTATTTACATTTAAAATGCTTTTAGCTATGTGAATAGGCACTAGTTTTCTTTCAACCTTACAGGTGTTATAATTTTTATACTCCCAGATTAATGGTGTGAATATTTTACTTTACTCGCTGCTATGTCCTCAGGAGTTCCAGGCAAGTAGCTGACACTCAGTAAACATTTTGTATGTGCACTTGTTGAATTAATGGTCATTTACAGCTGCTTTCTTGACTAGAGAGTTTATCTTTTTTAAAGACTTTCTTTTTAAATTAGTTTCTTCTCTATGAATTGTCTTTTCATTTTCTTTCTCCATTTATTTACTGGGATTTTATTGTCTTTTCTGACAATTTCCTTAAACTCTTCATATAGCAAAGATAGCAATCTTCATGTTACATTCTCTGACTGCTTTTCTGAGTTATTGCTTACTTTTCACTTTTCAGTTAATTCTGTTGTATAGAAACTTTGTTTATATCATTAAATTGTTTTTATAAGTTCAAAGCTTATGAATTTTCTGTTTTTCTGAAAAAATAATTATTTTATTAATTTATCTTAAATGATTTGGACATATGTGTATATATTTATAAGCCAGCATTTAAAAAATATTAAATAAGTTAGTGCAATATGACCACACACTATGTGTTGTATATATGGTATTGTCAGTTGAACAGAATTTCTGCAAATGGATATGAGGTGAAG